GTGGCAAAGACCAAGTCGTCGACGTACACGAGGATGTAGAACGGCGGCAGCGAAGTGTCGGTGCGCAGAAACAGCGACGGGTCAGCAGTCGACGGAGCAAACCCAAGAGCCGCAGCTGTCGTCCTCAGTGTGTCGTGCCACTCACGCGGCGCCTGGCGGAGACCGTAGACTGGCCGCCGGAGGCTCCACTAAGTACCAGGAGGGAACGACCCAGTGAAGCCAGGTGGGCGGCGCAGCCAGATCTCCTCGTGCAGGCTGCCTTGTAAGAAGGCTGTGCTGAAGTCAAGAGAGTGAAGCTCGTAGTCACGCTGAGCGGCAACGTGCAGCAGCATCCGAAGAGTGGTCATTTTCGGGGTGGGGGAGAAGGTCTGGAAGAAGTCGACTCCCTCCCGCTGACTGAAGCCTCGAGCAACGTAACGAGCCTTGAAGATAGGCGGAGAACCTGGCGGCCGCTTCACCCTGAAAATCCACATGCCACTGACGATGTTCGCCCCAGGAGGGGGAACCTCGTCGACGTAGGTGCCTGTGGACTTCCAGGATGCCATCTCTGCGCCCATGGCTGTCTACCACTGAGAGGAGTACTCACCCGCGATCGCCTCAGCGTAAGAGCGCGGGGTCGGGATGTCTGGAGCATCCGGGTCTCCCTCAGGGGCAAGCAGCATAGACACGAGATGAGGCGCAGCGGGTGCAAGACACTCAAGGTCCTCTTGCCTGTCCTCAAGGACGTCCGTGCCAAGAGCACACTCACCCCCGACGGACGGAGGACAGACAGTCTCAGACTCAGCAACCAGACTAGCGGCGTAGTCTAGACGACAGGCAGCAACAAAGTCAACAAGCTCAGCGACTAGGGCAGACGTAGCAGCAGACTCAAAGGACGGGTCAGTGACAAATGTGGCGAGCAGACGCGTAACAGTAGGGTGAGCAGCACGGATGCGGTCTGACTCAGGCTCAGGAACGGTAGGCAGAGAAGACGCAGGAGGGGACAGCAGGGGAACACGCTGCGGAGGAGAGGAAGGACGACGGACTACGAGGTGGTTGCCGGTGACAGCCGGCTGACGCGAACGAGGAACACGACTACCGGAACGACCAGGATGGACAGGCGAGACACGACGCGACGCGGGCTCACGACGCTCAGCAAGACCCCCCGTATGCTCAGTGTAAGGAGAAGGAGTAGGCAGTGGTGAGCCAGGCTGTAACGGAAGACCAGTAGACGAAGGGAGACTAAGAACCTGGCGAAGCACAGAGGCAGACGGTGGCGGAGACGACGGAGACGGTGGAGCAAGGAACAGGCGGGACTGTGCAGTGCCACCAGCACCAGCAGCTCCAGCACCCCCAGTAGCTCCAGCACTTCCAGCAGCTCCAGAACCCTCAGCGCCAGCTCCTCCAGGACCAGCTCCACCAGCAGCAGCACCCCCAGAACCGGCACCTCCAGTCTCAGGGTCTCCAGTCTCAGTGTCTCCAGCAGCAGCACCCCCAGACCCAGGGTCTCCAGCAGTAGCACCCTCAGGCTCAGCACCTCTAGCCCCAGCAGCTCCAGTACCTCCAGTACGAGCACCTCCGGGACCAGCACCACTCCCAGCTCCAGCGACGTCAGCAGAAGTACCTCCAGCGGCAGAGCCCCGAGCTCCAGAAGCACGACCCTGACGGCGACCGTACCAGTCGTGCAGCTGCTGTGAGGTGAGAGGCACACGCGGACGAAGGCGGCTACTCCAAGGAGACCGCGCAACAGCAGACTCAGAACCCTCAGCGTCAGCACCCGCAGCAGCTCCAGAACCTCCAGCTCCAGCACCGCCAGCAGCTCCCGAACCTCCAGCTCCAGCACCCTCAGTGGCTCCAGAACCTCCAGCAGAAACTACTCCAGTAGCAGAGTCACCAGCACCAGCGCCTACTGCCCGACTGGTGACATGGCAGCGGACTTTCTCACGAAGGGACTGCCACGCCAGCAGTATCAGCATTGCTCCGAACTCAGCGGAGTGGTCAAGCAGGTCAAGTCGAGCTGCGGCCAGCAGTGAAGGGGGGTGTTACGAATAGCAATGAATGAAGATTACAGTGCACTCCCGATGGAGCAGATGGCATCGGGCAGCTGCAAGCAGAAGGATTCTGGCGGGAACAGTTTCGTAACTGTACGCGCCGCACGGTTGGGAATGAATCTGAATAAGGGAATGTACCCCTTAGAGTACATGGCTAGCAAGGTCGATTCGTATTTCCCTGTACTCTTATTTATATCGTTGTACTTGCATGTTTTTATTATCTCAAGCATTTTACATTCACTCTGCTATTGAGGTCAAGGGCCCACCACCACTAGACTAGAAGTGTGCGAACCTTCCTGAGGTGATCCTGGTTACGATCTGTCAGAATGTCGATGTTTGTCTAGCCTGCAGTGGGGTACTCTGTAGCGAGTACAACCCAATTAGGGTTTCCTATATGTATCTCAACTGCTGCTAGTGAAAACCCCTCTTTCCTGTTTCTGATTCTTGCCTAGTATTTCGACATGCTATCAGAGCAGGTCGACCCTCCTGGGTCGATCCTGTGGGTGGGCCCCACCCGATGCTTCCGCTGCTCTGCCTGTAGCGCGCCCCGGGCGCGCGCCGTTTTCTTCCTGCCGTGCGCTCGGAGTGCGCAGCATTTTTTCTTCCTGCCCTGCCCGCCGCGCGCCCCGGGAGCGCGCGGCGGTTTCCTGCCCTGGTGACCCGCGCGTCGCCCCCCGTCGCCCGACGCGGCCCGCGTGACCTCCGCCAGGCCCGCACGCGGCCTATACGGGCTGCGCCAGGCCCGCGCGCGACCCGTATGGGCTGCGCCAGGCCCGCGCGCGGCCCGTACAGCCCGCGCTCGGCCCGTACGGGCTGCGCCAGGCCCGTACGGGCTGCGCCAGGCCCGCGCGCGGGCGAGCGTCGCCCCTTCTGCCGCCTGCTTTGGCGCCCTGGGAGGCCGCGCGTCGGCCCCCCCCCCCCCTCCCCCCCCCCCCCCCGTAACCTCCCTACCCGCCATCCCGCCCTGCCCTGTGTTAGGGTTTGGGGGTGGTGAGTAGGGAGTGGCGGGTGTGTGGTCTCCCCTGCTCCTCCTCCTCCTCCTCTGTCTCCCACTGCTGCAGCTGCCGCTGAGGGGGGTGGGTGTGTGGGAGTCGACGGAGTGGTGCTAGGGGGTGGGGTGTGAGTGAACCTAGGGTGCAGCAGGGGGTGTGTGAAAGGGGGTTGCTGTGGGAGTAGAACTAGGGTTTGAGCAGGGGGTGTGTGTCGAGAGGTGTGGGGCAGCTGGAGGAGGTTGTGTGAAGGTAGCTGTCGTGTCGCCTGCAGCGCCTGTAGTCCGTCGCCCTTGCTTCGGTAGCCAGTGAGCCTGTTGCACCAGTCGCCAGTGGGTCCGTTGCTCCTGCCGCTCGTCTATAGCCGCGGAGCCAGTTACTCCAGTAGTCCGTCGCCCTTGCTTCGGTAGCCACTGAGTCAGCCGCTCCTGTGCCCGTGCCTATGCAGCTTCAGTCGTTGCCTCCCATCTTCTCTCCCTCCACAGTTCCTCCTCCTCCTCACTTGCCCGGTGTGATTAACTCTAGCTTTGCTCACTATTGTGAACTCCTTCTCTATGCCTGCTTGCTCATTGTGCTGATTACACCCCACTTTGGCTATGGGGGTGTGTCAGAATGTTATAATTGTCTAGCCTGCAGTGGGGTACTCTATAGCGAGTACAACCCAATTAGGGTTTCCTATATGTATGCCAACTGCTGCTAGTGCAACTCCTCTCTTCTTCATTCCTCATTTTTTCACAGCGAAGGTGTGGGTGCGGTCCGAGAAGAGATCGTAGGCTCTGAATACCAAGTGTTACGAGTGCAATTGAGTGAACGAACGAGAATTGCACTATCGAAGCAAGAGTCCAATGAGCGAAGGCATGAGCGAAGAATATATAGCGAAACTACAGTGGTAACGGTAATGGACTGTGGTTGTCGCGCGACGGGCCTGGGACTGAGGTTTGGGAAAAAGTGTCGAAGCGGAGGCCCGGAGCGCGGGTTACCCGCCGAGCCGTGAGGTCGGGGTGCGACGTGCGAAGGTGGCGGGCGGATTGTCGATGCGAGGATTGCGAGTAGTAACGGTGCTGACTGTGGTGCTACAGTGATGTACGTGTTGAGCAGGGATGCGAAGTAAGGAAAAGGGATTTTCCTTACAATGCCAAACCAGCTGATGCGAACTTCTCGCAACATACCAAGCTAAAGCAGGTCTACAGAAATAAACTACAATTCTCTAAACAGACTCAACGAAATATACAGGCAATTAAAACTTTTAGATACCTTCGATCGACTTCTCCACAAATGCTACAAGCCACTTGCTAAGTTAGTGCTTGTAAAACCACTTAACTTGGAAATCCTTTTGTAACATCTTATTAACCAGGGGCCACACAACACAACACAACCCAAACCGACCAAATGTGGTTCTTAGTAATAATCTCCCGCATGACTCCACATTTAACCTGCTGTCGCGCCACAGCAAGTCTTGGCTGCAGCTTGCAATGGCTGCCTCGACCTTCTGCTGCACCAAGATGCTTTTCCTGCATATTAGAGACAACGGTGGGAGTGAGATGGTGGTGGGAGTGAGATGGTGGTGGGAGCGTGGCAGCAATAGGAGTGAGTTCTTGCACAGCAGTACCATCTAGTAGGACTGATGCTTACATCCCAACATTAAGGTGGGCCTCCAGCCCCGCCCACAACCCCCGTTCCAAGTGATTTCTGAACATTCTCAAGATCCACACCGTATGATCCAGGGTGGGTGTTTGCTTCAAACCGAGGGGAGGGCGGCTGGGCCTTGACTGAAGGGATGGGAGTGGGCGCATGCATGTGGTAGGGTGCAGAGTTCTTGTCTGATTTTCCTCTCTCTCCCTCCCCCCCCGTTGCGCCTGGTCCCTTGCGCCTTGCTCCTTCTTTGCTCCACAGCATGTACATACCTGTCTGCATCATCTCCATGCATGAGGTGAGAGGCATGAGGTGAGAGGCATGAGGTGAGAGGCATGACGTGAGAGGCATGAGGTGAGAGGCATGAGGTGAGAGGCATGAGGTGAGAGGCATGAGGTGAGAGGCATGAGGTGAGAGGCATGAGGTGAGAGGCATGAGGTGAGAGGCATGAGGTGAGAGGCATGAGGTGAGAGGCATGAGGTGAGAGGCATGAGGTGGGAGGCATGAGGTGCGAGTCTGGTAAATACAAGCACACTCCGCCTGCCCCTCCTTCCACAGCTGCCCCACTCCGCCTCCCCATAACAATTTTCCCTCACTCCGCCTCCCCCTCTGCCTTTTCCCCCACTCTGCCTCCCCCTTAGCCTTTTCCCCTCTCCGCCTCCCAGCTTTTTTCTCCTCTCCGCCTGCCCCTCAGCCTTTTCCCCCTCCCCGCATCCCCTTCAGCTTTTCCCCCTTGCAGCCTCCCCTTTCAGCCAGAAATGCCTGCGCCAGAACGCTCCTGAGCAGCCTGTGCGTCCCGTGGATGTGTGGGTGAGGGGAATGCCAGCGCAGCTCACACCGGCCCCTCTTGAGCATCCACCTGCTTCTTTCTTCCCGCACTCCCCACCACCCATGAACCAACTCTCCCCCTCCACCTGCCCCTCCTGCCACAGCTCTCTCCCCCGCTCCGTCTCTGTCAGCACGCTCTCGAGCAACTGCATTGGAGTGAAGGGAAGGTGCGTTGCTGCAAGCTTGGCTAGGAATGCAACCAGCAGCCCACAGGTTTCCGTAAACAGTGCACTCAGGGGGGTAGAGAGGGAATAATGGACCAAAACCAGTGCACATCCGCAGCAGTCGCAGTGTCCCCCATGAACAGTGCGGTCAGACATGGGTGCAGGAGAAGCAGGTGTGGTGCAGATCTGGTGGGGAGGGGAAGTTTACTGGCTGCACGGTGCACACCTGGGGAGGAGAGAGGGGAAAGGAGGGGCAGAGGGGCAAAGGGAGCAGCGCAAGGATGTGAAGGATCGCATGAGGGTTCGGGCAGGCGAGCGTCAAGTGAGGGTGTATGAGACGCTTTCGACAATTCTCACAAGTGACTCAGATGTAACCAGTTCTTCCCTCGAAGTCAAGTTTGTTTCTCGGTTTCAGAACCGGTTGGTGAGAGCACGGTACAATACAATATCAGGAGCTCACTAATCACGTACCACGTACTTACGGCAGTGCCTTGACACTCGAAGGCATGGTGGGCCTGTAAGGCTGTCCCACTTGGCAGCGCTGTTGGACTCCGGGCAGGTGCGGAGCTGGAAAAGGGGGAAAGGGGGAGGGGGTAGGGGATGGGTAGGGTGGGTGGGGGGGGAAGGTGGGGGTAAGGAAGGAAGTACCCAAGGTGTGAAACAGTGCTGTGAGATCTGAGTGAAGTATGGGGAGTGAAAACAGCAGGCCAGAAGTTCGCTAGGAGAAACAGGTGCAGAGCTGGGGGCGGAAGGAGGGCGGAAGGAGGAGGGAGGAATGGTACGGGGGTAAGCGGAGTGGGAGAGAGTAAAGGGACGGGAAGGGGTAGGATACAGGGAAGGAGAGCGAAGGGGAATGGGGTAAGGGGAGAGGGAGGGTGAAAGCAAAGGAGAAAAGGAAGGAAGCAATGAAAGGGGGAGGAGGGGGTGGTGGAAGGGGGAGTGGATAACGGGAGTGGGAGGGGTAAAGGGAGGAGAAAGGGGATAGGGGTACAGGGAGGGGACGAGTTGAGTGAAAAAGGGGTAAGCGGAGGGGTTAATGAAGGGGGGAGGGTAAGGGTAAAGGAGGGGGTAAGCTAAGGGTACGAAATGGTGGCCTTGCAAGCAGTTTGCCTGTTTGAGTGGGTGCGAGTGGGTGTGGGTATAAAACCGAAGCAGAACAGAGCAGACCAAGAGCCATAAACGAGGGGAGGCGTGGGAGGAAAGAGTTGTTGGGGAATGGATGGGAATGAACAGGTTGGAAGGAGTGAATGGGAGAGAACAGGAAGCTGAGGCCGGAAAGGAGGTTAGAAAGGACTGGTGAATAGTTGGGAATTGTAAGGTTAGGCAGGGTAATCGCAGATCCTCTAAAAAACCCTCCAAGCATAAGCATCCTCTGCTGCCCCAGCCAGCCCCATCAGCAGCCCCTTCTTAAGCATAAGGCCCATCCTCTGCCCCCGCTCGAACGATACGCAGTTCCTACGGCTTCAATCCGCAGTCAGATTCAATACTCGCTCGTAGGTCCGTGTCTGAAAAACCTCTCCAGCTTCGTTCGCTACACCATTTGCAATGAGCCGCACAGGCATGTTTGAGAAGTCTCAACTCCCCCCTTCTCTCCCCCTTCTCTCATGCTCGTTCCTCAGCAGCCTGTGTGCCCCACCCACCCCACCAATCAGTAAGCACAGCCTGGCCGATGCGGTTCACTCGCTTCTGCTTCGGTGTCTGCCTCTCCTTCCTCCGCCTCACACCCATGCTCTCCCACGTTGCCCGGTTCACTAGCACCCGTTCCCCCTCTCAGCCCCCTCCACTTCCCCCTCGGTTCCCCCACTCGCGGCTCCTCTCGCGCCCTTCCTTGCGCCCGCGCTCCTGCCCCTGGCGCGCGCTCTCCCCCATTCCCTCTCTCCCCCCTTTAACCACCCCTCCGCCTGCCTCTTCTCCCCCATCTTGCTCTGCATCCTGCCCCGTTTTCTCCCACCCGGCGCAACGTTTCCGCCAAACTCGAACCACACACGCCCACATCTTCCCTCTCCCCTCCATGCGCCTTCCCCTCCCCCTCCGTACGGCCGTCCATCATTGCTGGCCCCATCTGCGCCCTTTCTCCCACTGGCGCGCAAACCTACTTCCGCAGACTCTCGAGGAGGCGGCGGTAGAGGTGAGAGCGCAGCGCGGGTGGCGGCGGTTAGGAGAATATCCACGCAGAGCGCGACTGGCGCGGGCTTCCGCCGCCTTTTCGAGTCGCCGCCGCCACCCCCGCCTGTGCTGCTTGCAGAGATGGTGCTATTTCCGCCGCTGCCGCTGTCGCCGCCCTTGCCTCCGCCGTTGCCCCCGCCAGGAGCCCCGCCTGCGCGGCCTTATCCGCCATTGCTGCTGCTCCTCGCGCCTCTGCTGTCGCGGCTCTCCGCCATCGCGGATTTTATCGCTCTCGTCGCCTACCGTCGCTCTGTCTGTCACCGTCTTGTCGCCGTGCGCCGACGCCGCCCCTCCGGCCTGTGCTGCTCGCAGCGACAATGCTGCCGCCACCGGGTTCCGCCGCCGGGGAGCCCCGCCTGCGCGCGCGTGCTTGCCCCAGCCGCCATTGCAGCTGTTCCTTGCGCATCTGCTGTCGCGGCTCTAAGCCATCGCGAATTGGTTCTCTTCGCTCTCGTCGTCTACATTCGTCTGTCTGTCGCTGTTTCGTCGCCCTGTCGGTCGCTATTTCGTCGCCATGTCTGTCGCTTTTTCGTCGCCATCCGTCGCGCTCTCGTCGCCCTGTCTGTCGCTTTGACGCGATCGATATCGAGCCACTATCTAACGCCCCGTTGTTGGCCTCCTACCCCTCACTTTCTAAATGCGGCTCCCGTGACTCCAGCGTGGCCAGCGGCCCATGTTTGGCCAAATGGCTGCCCGACGCAACCTAGGCATACGTGCTTTGTTATGAAGTGATTCACAAACGAATTGAAATGCACCGTTCCGATAGCTACAGAGTACCACTCGATGGTCCATCAATGTCTGAAAACGAGGGTCAAATAGGCAGATTCTAGCTAGGTGAGGGCCTCGGGGCAACGAGGCTCGGAAGACGTAAGGTGCGGAGGCGACTCGAAAGTGGTTCGGCGCGATAACGTAGGCCGAACCAGCTGACACGAGCGCCTCGGAACATACACTAACTCCGAGACATTTCTACAGCAAAATTAACATAATTGGTTAGAAATGAAAATAACCCCAAGACATTTCTCTACAAATGCTACGAAGTCACTGGCCAAGTTCAGCCATTGCTGGTAACCAGTCATGAGTTCCAAAAAGAAACTTACACACACATTTTTAAAAAGGGGTGCACAACCCAAACTTCCACCACCATTGAGCACTTGACTGCAGTACGCCTTGCCCGCGGCCTGGCTGCCTGGAGTGAGACGGTGGTGGTAGTGAGATGGTGGGAGTGAGAAGGTGGTGGGTGTGTGGTGGGGGGTAGATGGTGGTGGGAGTGAGATGGTGGTGGGAGTGAGATGGTGGTGGGAGTGAGATGGTGGTGGGAGTGAGATGGTGGTGGGAGTGAGATGGTGCAGGGGGGTGAGATGGTGGTGGGAGTGAGATGGTGCAGGGGGGTGAGATGGTGGTGGTGGAAGCAAGATGGTGGTGGGAGTCAGAGGGCTGGGTGAGTGAGACGGTGCTGGAGTGAGTCCTTCGCAGTGCAGAACCCATAAAACTGGGGAAAAGTTTTGACGCGCCTCAACTTATGGGACTAATACTTGCATCCCGACACGAGGCGCAGTGCCCTGTGCAACGATGGGCTACACACTATGACGAGAACAGTATAGAGAGGATGGAGGACAGCGCGAGGAAATAGTGGAGGGAATGGGGGAAGGCGCAAGGGAACAACAGAGAAGGGGGATGGAGAGAGGAAAGGGATTGGATGAGGAAGGTTATGGAGTAAGGAAGGGGAACAAGAAAAATAAACGGACCTGAATAGAGGGTAACTAGGCAGCAAGGATGACCAAGAACCCGCTTTCTTCGGAGGCGTTGAAAAAAAAGAGAGACAGGAGCCACAAACCCATTGAGCAGACATCTAGTTGGGCCCGGTCAGCGGGAGACGGCAAGGATGGACTAAAAGGTGCTTCTTTTTCAGAGATATATCTTCAGATTTCTCGCCATACTCAGCTTCACTCACCTCTGCCTTGGCACATCACAGAACTGCCTACCGTCAGATGAGAAGCCACCTGCACGCATGGCATGTGTGCTGCCATGTGCCCCTCACGTGCTGCATGCCTCCACGCCCATGTAAGTGGTGGGCTGAGCTTGCCACATTCGTCTCCTCCCTTCACCTCCCCGTCCTTCTCCTCCCACCCCTCTTCCTTCTTCCCCTCCTCTTCCTTCTCCTCACCTACTGCATCTCCCCCCCTCCCCTCCTCACCACCTTTGCTCCTCTCAGCCCTCGTCATCTCTTGCTCCTTCCCTTATCCCTTCCCTTCTCCCGTCTCTCTTCCCGTCTCTCCTCTCTCTCTCCACCCTTGCCCTCGCCTACCTACTGCTTTCCATCCACCTCCTATCTATCACCCACTGTCCCGTCCACGCTCTGCCCCCACTTCTGCACCTCTTCCCGCATGCTTCATCCTCTACCCACGCCCTTCTCTCCTCCCCCCTGCCCTCCATCCCACCTTCCCCTAACCTTTCCCCCACCTCCCCTCCCGCCACCACTGTGGCAGTACACGCCCCGTCACGTCTCTTTCCACCCATCCCGTGCCTCCTGCATACCTCCCACCATTGCCATCGCTCCCATTCTCCCCATGCCTCAAACCATCGCCATGGGTTTCATCAAGCCCAAGCCTCCCACCACTCCGTACCACCGCGCGTCTGTTTTCCTCCCCCTCTTCTTCTTCCTCCTCCTCCTCTTCCTCCTCCTCCTCCCCCTCCCCCTCCCCTTCTCCCTTCCCCAACCCCTCCAGGTTCCTCACCTCCTCTCAGGTTCCATCCCCATCCCACGTCTCCTGATTCCCCCCCTCCCTATAACTCCGCTCCCCTTCCTCCACCCCCACCTCACCCTGTGCATGTCTCGCCAGCACCACCATGCGTGTCAAGCGCCTCACTCGCTTCTGCTTCGGTGTCTGACTCTCCTTTTCCCGCCTCACGCCATGCTCTCCCACGTCCCTGGGTAACAGGGTTCTCGCGCACTCGCCCTTCCCGGCTGGCTTCCACGTGAACCCCGGCGCAACCCCCCCCCCCCCCCCCCGCCCAACCTCTTGCCTCTGGCGCATGATCTCCCCCGTTCCCTCTCTCTCCCGCCTTTCCCACCTCTCCGCCTGCCTCTTCTCCCCTCCTCTTCTCTCCTGCTCCGCCCCCTGTTCCGCCTCCTCCCGCCCCTCGCCTCGCGTCTGCCAAACTCAAACCACACGCGCCCACATCCCCCTTTTCGCCTCCCCTCCATGCACCTCACCTCCCCGCTCCGCCTCCCTTCCACCCCCGCGCGGTCGCCCGTCACTGCTACCCCCATCTGCGCTCCCCACCCACTGGCGCTCCCTCGGAGGCGGCGGTAGGGGCGCGCGCTCCCTCTTCGCGCCGCTGCCACCGCCGCCGCCGCCGCCGCCACTCCGGCCCGTGCTTCTCACAGCGACACATGCTGCGTCTGCCGCTTCCGCCGCTGGGAGCCCCGCCTGCGCGCGCATGCTTGCCCCAACCGCCATTGCTGCTGCTCCCCGCGCATATGCTGCCGCAGCTCTCCGCTATCGCAAATTGTTTTTTTGTCACTTTATCGCCGTGGACAGTCGCTCAATTGTCGCTATCCGTCGCTCGCGTCGCAGTCCGTCGCTCTCTCATCGCCGCACGTCGCGCTGTGTCATCTCTTGTCTGTCGCTCTGACGCAGTAGCGTTTGCGCCACCACCTTCGATTGACAATGTAGTATCGCCACTGTATGATGTCTCTCAACAATTGTCAGGCTTGCGCCTCCGGTTTGCCCACCCGCCATTGTTGCTGCTCCTTGCGCCTCTGCTGTTGCGGTTCTCCGCCATCGCGAATCGCCTCTTCTCGCTCTCGTTGCCCCGTCTGTCGCTTCGACGCGACGGCTATCGAATTACCGTCCCTCGCTCTCTCGTCGCAGTGGGGTGTCAAATGACGCCCCACTATTGCCTTCCCAGATCCTTACGTCCTGATACTGAACGCAGGTGCTGTGAATTCCTACAAAATCGAGCACGCAGCCCCATGCTAGCCAAATGTCTGCGATAGGAAATCTAGGTTGTGCAACAAATTGTTGACCGCAGGGTTCTACAAACTAGAAAACTACAACTGAATGTCCCACGAATGTCTAACACGAGGATAAAATAGGCAGACCCGAGCTAGGCGAGGACTTGGGGTTAGGCTAGGCTTGGAAGGCTGCCGAAAGGTGCGGTGGCAAAACGTAAGTGGTTCGGGATGCGTTTGTAGGCCGAACCGGTTGAAGCGAACTTCTCGGCGCATACAAGCCAAAGTAAGCCTACAGCAAAAATCTATACCTCATTATACAAACGCCCAACGAAATTAATAAATCACTTGGTATTTTTTTCGAACAGCCCCAATTGAGTTTTCCGCAAATGCTTCAAGCTCAATGTCAAGTTTAACAATCAGGGGTTTAAATTCATGCGCTAGCCATTGCAGTGGAATTGTGTCACTTACGCATACGTTTCTAACATTTTATAAACGAAGGGGCAGACACAACCCAAACTGCCTGCATCGAGTTAAAGCTGCGGAACAGATATCGTCACTTCGGTTCAAAAGTTTCTAACTTCAAAATGTAGCCAGGTTGACTGTCAAAGCGAAAGGTTTGGTGCGGGGAAACGTGTGGGGCAAAGTGCCAAACAGCACCGCATGATGAGGGGAGTCCATTTCCTTTCTCTTCATCTCAACACCACTCACTCTCTCGCTAGCCAATTGGAGACTTGGGTGGCACAGTGCACCGCGGCTTGATATATTCTCCATCAAACGAGGCGTTCAAGCAATAGCTAGAAAGTCATACAACTCGGCACTTGACTGTAGCAAGTCGTAGCTGCAGCCTGGCTGCCTGAGGACCACACGAGGAGAACAGTGGGGGCATGAGGACCACACGAGGAGAACAGTGGGGGCATGAGGACCACACGAGGAGAACAGTGGGGGCATGAGGACCACACGAGGAGAACAGTGGGGGCATGAGGACCACACGAGGAGGACAGTGGGGGCATGAGGACCACACGAGGAGAACAGTGGGGGCATGAGGACCACACGAGGAGGACAGTGGGGGCATGAGGACCACACGAGGAGAACAGTGGGGGCATGAGGACCACACGAGGAGAACAGTGGGGGCATGAGGACCACACGAGGAGAACAGTGGGGGCATGAGGACCACACGAGGAGAACAGTGGGGGCATGAGGACCACACGAGGAGAACAGTGGGGGCATGAGGACCACACGAGGAGAACAGTGGGGGCATGAGGACCACACGAGGAGAACAGTGGGGGCATGAGGACCACACGAGGAGAACAGTGGGGGCATGAGGACCACACGAGGAGAACAGTGGGGGCATGAGGACCACACGAGGAGAACAGTGGGGGCATGAGGACCACACGAGGAGAACAGTGGGGGCATGAGGACCACACGAGGAGAACAGTGGGGGCATGAGGACCACACGAGGAGAACAGTGGGGGCATGAGGACCACACGAGGAGAACAGTGGGGGCATGAGGACCACACGAGGAGAACAGTGGGGGCATGAGGACCACACGAGGAGAACAGTGGGGGCATGAGGACCACACGAGGAGAACAGTGGGGGCATGAGGACCACACGAGGAGAACAGTGGGGGCATGAGGACCACACGAGGAGAACAGTGGGGGCATGAGGACCACACGAGGAGAACAGTGGGGGCATGAGGACCACACGAGGAGAACAGTGGGGGCATGAGGACCACACGAGGAGAACAGTGGGGGCATGAGGACCACACGAGGAGAACAGTGGGGGCATGAGGACCACACGAGGAGAACAGTGGGGGCATGAGGACCACACGAGGAGAACAGTGGGGGCATGAGGACCACACGAGGAGAACAGTGGGGGCATGAGGACCACACGAGGAGAACAGTGGGGGCATGAGGACCACACGAGGAGAACAGTGGGGGCATGAGGACCACACGAGGAGAACAGTGGGGGCATGAGGACCACACGAGGAGAACAGTGGGGGCATGAGGACCACACGAGGAGAACAGTGGGGGCATGAGGACCACACGAGGAGAACAGTGGGGGCATGAGGACCACACGAGGAGAACAGTGGGGGCATGAGGACCACACGAGGAGAACAGTGGGGGCATGAGGACCACACGAGGAGAACAGTGGGGGCATGAGGACCACACGAGGAGAACAGTGGGGGCATGAGGACCACACGAGGAGAACAGTGGGGGCATGAGGACCACACGAGGAGAACAGTGGGGGCATGAGGACCACACGAGGAGAACAGTGGGGGCATGAGGACCACACGAGGAGAACAGTGGGGGCATGAGGACCACACGAGGAGAACAGTGGGGGCATGAGGACCACACGAGGAGAACAGTGGGGGCATGAGGACCACACGAGGAGAACAGTGGGGGCATGGCAGGATGTGAGAGAGAATGGCAGGGCAAGGTGAGAGCAGGCAGGCCTGTTAACACGTGAAAGGCATGGCAGCTATGACGCATTAACAGGTCTTGCCAGGTGGCACCATGCAAGAACCGGCGTATCCACCCAGAGCACGTGTCCGCTTCTTCCTACGCGAATTTCTAGTCCTGTGTTCACGTGTCGTCAAGTCATTACCCATAAAGCCCACCTTTCACGTCAGTGATAGACCGCACTGGCAACAAAACGGCCTGCTGTTGTGACGCCATGCGGGAATAGCGAAACACGGGAGGCTGCAGCGTACCATCAGCGTTGCCGCGTCCTTGTAACTCTCTCATTCATCGACCCTGAGATTTTTCACCGCATGGACCCATAACCTCCCGTCGCCTCAGAGGGAAGACGCCTGAAAGAGAAGTCCGAAACAGCATCTCCGATTAGGCCGAGCCGCCTGTGCATGCAGTCGATCGTTAGCACCTCATCATTTGACCCACGCGGCGAACGGCGATTCGGCTCAACAGGCAACGGCGGGCGCTAAGAGAAGGCTGCGACTGATGACGTTCGGTTGGAGAGAGGGAAATGGTACCGGCAGGAACGGCACGGGGTGACAGTGCGGATTCCGTTCGGCGGGATCGATCCCAACCGCAGCAAGATGGATTGTCACTCGCCGCAGCGGCAGCACTGACTCACGGCACCGTCGAGGACGAGAAGCAGAAGGAGAGAGATTGAGGCGTGTGAGCACAAATCGGGGTTTGGGATTCGCGAGCGACTCTGCTGCTGCCTGCGAGAAGCTGTGCGCGGCCCGAAGCATCGCTGCGCGGCGGAAAAAGAGCCCCACGCTGCCTGCGAGAAACTGTGCTCGACATCGGTTCACGCTGCTTGAGGGTTATCGCCGCGGTGACTTCCAGGCCGCTAAAAGTAGTAGTCGCAGCGTGTAACTGATGCGCTACTACAGAAGCCGACAAATGACATGTGTTTTTTTGACAATGTAAAACAGCGATGTCGCTATTACTCTCGCTCCTGATTTACGCCTAAAATAACTCCCGTCACTTGGGAATTCTACAGAGAGGCAGCGACGGGTTTCTGCTGTGCCAGAAGCTAGAAATGGTGGAACAAGGTGCTCGGCCATTTGACTAGGACGGGGATGTGAGATCGCAATTCCTGGGATGCACTCGAGTGGAGATCGAACCCTATCTATTTCAGTATTTTGTGCGATCGGACGGGTTCCCTTCACGAGCGACGACGACATTTCCGCACTGCTGTTGTCAACGAGCCAAGAATTGACTGGGGATGCATCGGCTGGTTACCTGAAATTGAATAATGTAAGGAAAATTCCTTTTCCTTACTTCGCATCCCTGCTCAACGCGTACTATCACTGTAGCACCACAGTCAGCACCGTTACCACTCGCCACCCTCGCATCGACAATCCGCCCGCCACCTTCGCACATCGCACCCCGACCTCACGGCTCGGCGGGTAACCCGCGCTCCGGGCCTCCGCTTCGACACTTTTTCCCAACCTCAGTCCCAGGCCCGTCGCGCGACAACCACAGTCCATTACCGTTACCACTGTAGTTTCGCTATATATTCTTCGCTCATGCCTTCGCTCATTGTACTCTTGCTTCGATAGTGCAATTCTCGTTCGTTCACTCAATTGCACTCGTAACACCTGGTATTCAGAGCCTACGATCTCCTCTCGGACCGCACCCACACCTTCGCTTCCCCACTATCTCAATTTTTGGGGAGGGGTAGACGTCTCTCAGCGACACAGCACCGCCGCTCGTAGTGCTCTCTCGTAAGCACGCACGGCCACGACCGAGGCTCTCGCTGAGCTCGCCCGACACCCCTGCCATGGCCGAATTCACGCTCGCCACATTGACGCAGGAGCAGCTCGACCGTCTGGTGCGCCAACTTGAAGATTCGGCGCTCGAAATTGCGACGCTCACGGCGGAACGTGACTCCGCGCGTCAGCAATCAACGATGAACACTCCAGCGCCACCACACGCACCGACAAATGCATCTGCACAATCAGACGAGCCGATCGTCATCTCGTCCGGCACACCAACACAAAACAACAGCGTGGGACAGCGCTCAGGCGCAGCCAGCGATGGCGCCGCCCAGCCGATGCCTGGCATGGGAGGAAACAGGGTCGCACCAAGCCCGCGGGAGCCTCGTGAAGCCCGTCGGCACGTGGAGTTCGCGGCGACAAATGGCGAACAGGCCATCATAGCACCAATGCCACTCAAGCCGCAACGCCCGCCCTGCTTCGACCCGAGCC